AAGGGTGTTAACCAGTTTTATGCCTGCGTGCCTACCTCCTTTTAAATATATTAGTTTTATGTAATATGTTATGGTTAGATCGGGATCTACTGGTAGGTCTTGGAACCTCTGACAGGTGATCTTGACTGGTTTGGCCAAGAGGCTATCGAGTGCAGCTCTTCAGCTGCCCCTTCCCCCAACTGCTGTGTAACTCCTGCCCTTTGCCTTGGAGCTGTTCCCCTCTCCCACCCTATATTGTGTCTCCACAGAATGGGGATTGGGGGCACAACAGGGAATGAGAGAGAAGGAGTTTGCTGGCTGCTTTTCAGAGTGGTGCAGGGCCAGGGTAGGAGGGAGCCTGCCTTAGCCTCACTGCACCACCACACAGGAGCCATCTGTGGTAAGCAGTGTCTAGCTGGAGCCTGATTCCCTGTCCCAGTCATGAACCCCCTTCCTACATCCCAAGCCTCTGCCTTAGCCCTGAGCCCCCCTACACCCAGACTCCCTTACAGAGCCTTACCCTGAACCACCTCCTGTACCCCAACCCCTGACCCAGGCTCAGCTCAGAGCCCTTCTCACACTCCAAATCCCTTAGCCCAAGACCAAAGCCTGTGCCCTAACCCTTTGCCCCTGCCTAGTGGAAGGAAGGATGGGGGAGGGAGGAAGGATGGCTGGAGTGAGCAGGAGCTGGGCCTTGGAGAAGGCTCACTAACAGGGGCAGCCTGTGAGACTAGGCAGTTGCCTAGGGTGCCGCCGGCCCGGGCACCCGATGATGACGTCACAGGATGCTGGAGCGCCCCGTGATTACGTCACAGCCATTGACGGCGAGCATGCGGGGGCGCCAACTGCGCCTTCCACCTAGGGCACCAGCTGCCGCAGCCGGCCTCAGACTGCTCCTGGGCACTAAGGAGGTGGGGCAAAGATATTTGGGTTTGAGGTAGATCCTGGATTGGAGACCAGTGGGTTACAGTATATATTCCTACAGCATTCTTCATTCTCAGCAAATTCAACTTGAAAAGAGGGATCATTATAGATGCAAATCCTGGACAAGTACTTGTGTTGTCTAAACACTGCACTTGTGCAGCACGTCTGGTACAATCCACAGCTATGTTAAGATGCAAACCACTTAAGCAAAGTAAATTGACACTGTTGGGTTAAAATTACATGGGGAGTAAGTCTCATTTCTTGCCTACATAAATTACACCAAAAATTGAAACAACCTTAGTCATTTGCCTCTTTTTCTCTTTAATTGAATTATTCTGCTAGTTAATTTCACTCTGGTAATCTTACAGAAACTTACTGCTAGAGTGCTTAAGTTACAAACAATTAGAGGATGTTTACATCCTAACAAAGCTGTTTTACTAACACTTCTTAAACAGGAGATTTCCTGGGTAATAGCTTTTTTTCAAAAACCAAACAAGAAAAATCTCCACAAATCTAAATTTGGGGCCTGATACCATCTACTTTAAATCTAGCCCTGAGATTGTTTTAAATTATTGCACCTGTTTTTGAGTTCCTCTGTCAATGTGTACAGTTTCACAAGCAAACTTTCCAATTTTTAAAATGTTTTTCCCGTCTCTGCTGTTTGAAATACCCTCATACATATAACAGAGGAAACTAAATATAATTGGGGAAACGGAGACAATTTCTACATAAAGTGTGGCTGTCAGCTTTCACCTTTCAATTTATAGTATTCTTAGGTGTTTATCATAACCGCAGTAGGGAAATATACTTTCTGGCAGAGTAGTCGTTTTAAAATTGAAAGTGGGTCTCTAATTGCTTTTGACAATATTGCGAATGTTATACAGTCTTCTCAGTGGATTGAGCATTGTCAGATATAAAGTCTGGGTAACCACAGCTACCATTTGCTGTGAGTACATGGCACCTCTCCAGAATAGTAACTTGACCCAAAGCTCTTGAAGTCTGTTGGTGAAAGTAGGGAAAAGTTACTTGTTCCCATAACACGAGAACTAGGAGTCACGAAGTGAAATTAATAGGTAGCAGGTTTAAAACAAAAGGAAGTATTTCTTCACGTAATGCATAGTCAAGGAGTTCCACAGATTGCCAGAGGATATTGTGAAGGCCAAGAGTATAACAGGATTCAAAAAAGCTAGATAAATTCATGGAGGATACATCCATCAATTGCTATTAAGCAAAGATGTGTAGGAATGGTATCCCTAGTTTTCATTTGTCAGAAGCTGGGAATGGGCGACAGGGTAGTGATCACTTGATGATTCCCTGCTCTGTTCACTCCCTCTGGGGCACCTGGCATTGGCCACTGTCAGAAGACAGGACAGATGGACTTTTGGTCTGACCCAGTGTGGCCGTTACGTTCTTTTCACTAACTTCAATAAGTTTTGGTCCCGATAGTCGGTGCTGTACAAAGCCTCAAAGCAAACTTAAGCAATGCATTTTGAATAAGGTAAACAAAACCAGCAGTAACTATTAGCTCACCAGATGGTCCTATGACATGACATAGTTACACAGAGCTTTTTGGAAAGTCATTCAACCAGTGGTGGCCTGGAACAAACAATGGAGCCTAACCCTCTTAGCCTTCAAAATGAAACATCTTGAAGTGTGCACCTGAATTTCCTTCAGCCTTGGTCTTTAGTGCTCTACTATTCATTTAAATGTTCTTGTTTAATTGTTCACCAAATCTCTTAGCCTTAAAATATCATGAACAAAAGTTGTTTTGGGCATAATCTGTTTCCACAATAATTTCTATGGGTTTAAAAAAGTCTATGCCTAGCCTTTGTGGGATCCAATGTGGCACACATCCTTGCCACATTGATGCTAATAACCGTATGTTTGGGCTTGGGGTTGTGTTTTAATTGTATGCCGTAAGGCAGGAGAAATTTGAGGCAGGTGAATAGCATCTCTTCAAAGAGATGAACTAGTAAAGACATGCATAAAAACAGATGGAAATCAGTCCTTTCAGTTTTCTGCTACTGTCTGAGGTCTTCATGGAAATAGACTTTGTTCAGATGGCCATTTGAAACGTTGTTCATTCAGTTTGGCTGACTCCTTTGTTGCAGTAATGGATTGTAGATGAAGTGAATGTGCACACTCACCCATTTCACATTGTGTTACACTTGCATTTAAATGGAATGTGGCTTCCAAGGGGTGGGAATTGAATGCAATTTAAGATAATTGTTAGCTACGTTTGACTCATAAGTGCAGGATATGTCACTGAAGGCCCCCAGCTTTTTTTTCCTTTGTCTTAAATAATTTCTTTGAAACGTGTGGCATTCTAAGGCAATCATATTTTTACTTAGGCCTTTAGTGAAAGGTGTTTCTCGCTGTCTATTTTAGAAATATGTGCCAGTCAATCTGTATGTCTGTCGGTCTGTGAGTTCATTTGTTCAAGAACTCCTAAACAGCAAGAGCTAAGACCACCAAATTTGGTAGGCAGCTTCCTTTTATCCTGACTTAAATCAAGGTCAGGATTTGGTTGTGCCAGGACAATGGGATGTGCCTGGAATTTGGTTGTTTCCATAAAATGGAAAGGGAAGGGGTCTGGAAAGAGGGACAGTTATACTGTAGAATGACCACAGGGGGCAGCAAGGGGCCAGAGATGGGGACCAGGACAGCTATAACCCCCTTGGGGCAGTAGGGGTGGAGAAAGGGCTAGCTATCTACTATATATTTCAGAGAATTTGTGTTTCTTTGTCCCCCAACTGGGGGACATACACACCTCCCTGGCAGTGCCCACTGGAGCTATAGTGGCCATGGACAGGCACTTCTCACCTTGTCCCAAGCTGCTATGGTGAAAGAGGCGTGGGGTTGTCCTCTCTCCCTGGGAAAGCCTGCCTCCTGAACCCCACATCCCCAGCCCCACCCCAAAATGATTTAAATGAAGAAAAACAAAGCTTATTTACGTTAAGGACCCAAGCAATGCTGGGTAAATCTAGTAATAGTAGGACAGAAAGCTAGATAAGGCGTTTTAAATATCTCCTCCAGAGCAGGCAAAATGATGTTACTATAATGGGCAGCTGGTTGGAAGGGGTGTAGTTTCTTGTTTTAGATAGGGGCTCAAGCTTGCCAGGTATTTAGTGAATATTAATTTCTAGCTTTGTTACTCTGGAGTCCAAGGACAGATTGTTACGAGGCCTGTGAGTGGTAAGGAATAAAGCATCTGAACAATATTAATCACCTGCCATGAGCTTGGTTAATCCAATGGATGAGAGACTATCAGGCCTTTAAAATGGCTTTCTGTGTAACTATCCTCTGCCATTTAATGTTTTAAAATGAACTGGGACACACAACTCTTACGATGTCTTAATTCCTAAAACACCCAGCAGTCAATGACTTCTAGGTGCATCATAGTGTGCAGGCGTATTCTCTATGGTCTGTTGGCCTGAGCTTTCTCTTGCCCCAAGCATTTCCACCAATAGATCTCTTCCCCCTTCTCTGGGAAGACTGTTCCACATTGCAGCTGATCAGTTCTATATGAAGTTTTCATGAACATTCAGTCTCAGGCAGCTATACATATTTAGTTCCCTCAATTTTACCTCCTAAATAAATCTCTCCAGACTCTTAATCATTTTTTGTTGCTCTTCTGAATTATCTTTGTCTTAGTAATTACTTCACAGTATCCTTTAATCAAGTATTTTAACTAATCCCTTTTAGTATTGAGGTGTCCAGAAGTGAATACAGTATTCTAGTCATGCTTTCAATAGCGTGATATAAATAGAATATCTTTTTTTCCTTTTCCATAGTGTGATTCCTCTACAACTCTCAAAACACTAGCATTTCTGCTCCCTTTGCTATAGCTTCTAGAACTTGGTAGGCATCACATATTCTTTTGAAGAATTATTTCCATAAATATCTATTATGGGTTAGCTTTTCCCATGTGTATTTACTTGCTTTCTGCCAAAGATGCATCTTATATTTCTGTCCTCGTTAAGCTGTTATGCCATTTTCAGACCTCACTAGTGTACTAGGTTTCTTCTTCCCAGCCAAATTCCTCCTTGTAATGAACCTGCAGTGAAGTCACAATCTGGTTTGACATCAGTCTATTACCATGGAAATTAATGATGTCACAGATAGGTCACTAGAATTTTATTCTGGGCACTAAGAGCAGGGCCGCTTGGGCTTTTAGAAAGAGGAAGCCCTTTTAACATCTGTAGCTGTTTGAGTCAGAACTTCATATGATCATGTGAGAGGGTAAGTGAATTTGTCTGGAACATGAGAACATTTCTCCCATTTCCAAGCTGTTTCTAACATGGATCTGTAATTCCCATCAATGGAGCTCTCCCAGTGGAGTGTGAAAGATTATAATTTTGACCATGGTAGAGAGTCAGCCTTAGGAAATGATACATCCTTATTTTAAACTGAAATGAGGGTTATGGGGGTTTTTTGCTTTTTGCAGGGATACCTTTTAACAAAAAAAATTGCTGATAGACTTGGAGGCACAAACACATTGTTAAATAGTGACATGAAATATCTAGACTTGATTGTTGTAAAATCCTGCACTTTGTAGTTAAAAAGTGTAGGTCCTTTAGAAAATTACCCTTTTTTACTACAGAGAAATTAAAACAGGAGTTGACTTTGTGTCCTGGGCTTCAGCCAAGAGAGAAGAGATTTGTTGAACTACACTGAAATATAGGTGCCTGGCTGGCTTTCTGCATGAAAAAATAAGTGCAAGCTGTCTCAGATGACCCATGAGGGTATTTGTTCTAGAATTTTCATTTGATACTTGTTGGTCCAATTAATTTTCAAAAACTCTTCAGGATGAATTTTTTTTATTAAAACAGATGTAGTGAGGGGGCCAACCGTTTGCTGCTCAGCTCCTATTGGAAGTGTTCTTGGATGCCTAACTCCCTTGTGCTGCTTTGAAAATCCTAGTCTAAATATAGAATTCCAGAATGAGACAGAAGGTCTCCACTTAATGTTCCTGAGGCAACTGTGTTTAAATCCGGCATCTGCATAGCTAACCATGTGATGTTAAACTGGGCTACTTTGTGTGTAGTTGCTACAGGTTGGGCATCCCTGGTTCAGCACCCTCGGGAACTCACTGGTCCCGAATAAGGAAGTTTGTTGGACCAGGTGAGATCAGCCACTGCTCCCCTAGTCTGGCTGGGTTTCCGGCCCTGGCTGAGCTCCCAGCTGCTGACCATCCTGCAGCCGGGACTCTCTGGTCCGGGAACATCCATGGTCCTGCTGGAACATGGATGTTATCAGACCAGAGAGAGAGGTTTAGAGAGGTTAAACCTGTACTAGGTCAATTTAAATTTTTATATCAGTTGAACTTGCACCTGCACATTTCGACTAGTAAGTGTCCATGGTGGGGTTTGTAGCAGTTGAGCAAAATCTGTTTTTAAATTGATGTAAATTGTGTGTGGACAAGCTCTGGGTAATGGTAAAACTTGGCTACAATCATTGAGCAGTTTTTTTCCTACAATCATTGAGGGGTAACAGAATTTTCATCTCAATGATAGAGGTCACAGGGTCTTGAATTAGCAAGTACAGGCAGTCCCCGAGTTACGTGGATCCGACTTACATCGGATCCGCAGTTACGAACGGGGCTTTTCTCGCCCCGGAGGTCGGGAGCGGCGGGACGCCCAGATGCGCCGCGGTCCGCCGCTCCCGTCC